AAATCAACAGTAAAGAACGCTATTATATGGTATAAACAAGTAACTCAGGTCAGAAAAGGAAAAGCATACAGTGGAGTTTTGGTGATTTTTACCTTGAAGAAAGTGCAATAAAGAAAGGGGGGGCATGGGGGTGTGGGGGGGCACGCCAGTTAGCCAGGAGAACTCAGAGATGAGCACCACAGATGATTACAGATTCTAAGATGATGCTCTGACTGGGGTGCAGTGTGGTTTATAGACATTGTAAAGATTGAAATGAGAAAAGTGCACTGAATCCCAAGTGGCTGGGACATTATACACTCACGTACTAATGATAAGAAGTGGGGCAATTTTGAAGCACTGAGAACAAGCACTTAGGGCAGTGGGAGGGGGGCCGAGGGAGGGAAGAAGGTATAGGGCGTGCTTGTTCGAAGGACATACAGAAGTTGGGTGCTGGAGTGGTCTAAAGCAGAGAGCTGAAAAAACAGCAAAAACAGGCATTTCCTAGAGGAAGGCTGACAGGTCCTTAAGTGCCTGACCACAGTGACAAAGGACATGCGAAGAAGGTAGACAGGGCTGTGTGGCTCACTCTTATATAGACAGATGCAAACCAAGTTACTGGTTAACTCATGCTGGTGTCTAGTGACAGCCATTCTAACTTAAAGAGGAGAAGGGCAGAGACAGAGCTTCAAAGAGAAGGAAGAAAAAATGGCGAGCCCCACAAAAAGACAAAGCTACTATGAGTTCTAGAACCACCCTGAAATTCTTGCCTAGAGCTCACCACTTAGGCATGAAGACACCACACTTCAGCAAGAAAGACTGTGGGATGGGGTGGGAGGGAGGGCAAGAATGGGGAAGGAGGAGGAGGGAGAAACACTCCCATGTGAATTGCCAGTTGAGCAAGAAGGAAGTGACTTCCAACAAAAGGATGCTTCCTTCCAAAGAGCTTTGCACTGGAAGAGAAGAAAAAGTCTGGTAGCTGAGGGGCAACTCAAGATGTCAGGTGGGGAAGACCTGGGGCAGCTTCTGTGCTGAGTGAGGGTAAAGAGGCAGGGAAGAAATATGGAGCATTCTGGGAGACCGGGCACAATGGGAGCCTGAGAAAAGGAAGAACTTTTCATCTTAGATGAGAAGAGGGGCTTCTTTATTGACCTGGGAGAAATGTATATTCAAACCCATAAATGTTTTGGTAAAAGAAGCAAGAGATGCAAGGAGTTTGCTTAACTACCAGTGCCAAGTAGAACGGTCACATGAGGAGAATGAGGGGGAGCAAGGCACTTGGCCAGAGTGAAGGTTAGAAAGACGCTGTGGAGAACAAGAGAGAGGGTGTCCCAGAGCATCCCTGATGCTTTTAAAAGAACAAAATTTGCCATAAGAATTAAAGTTTGTTAGTAGTTGCTGGTGGGAGTGTAAACCGTTAAAACTTTCTGGACTACACTGTGGAAATATGTAATCAAAGCCCTTTAAATGTTCATGTATGTTGACCTGATAAATTTCTAAATGTAAGCAAAAAAAAAGAAAGGTGAGAAACAAAGATTTAAGTATAAGCATGCTCAAAGTATATTTTAGGAATAAAAATTGATAATGTCTAATAAAAGGGGTAAAGTATATATCTATGACAGAATAACCATGTAGCCATTAAAAACCATGTATTTAAAGAATATTAAATCACATAGGAAAACACTAATATAATGCTAAAATTTTAAAAAGCCAGACAGAATATACTATGATTCCAATTTTGTAAAGTACACACTTAGAACTACTCCTACAATACCTTAAATGTATCTAGGTAAGTTATTTTTTAAAGATTAGCAAGATGTAGGCTTTATATTCTTCTGTATTTTACAAATGTCCTTTTATTTTTTAAGATTTTTTTAAATTAATTAATTAATTTATTTGACAGAGAGAGAGAGACAGGAGAGAGGGAACACAAGCAGGGGGAGTGGGAGAGGAAGAAGCAGGATTCCCGCTGAGCAGAGAACCCGATGTGGGGCTCAATCCCAGGACCCTGGGATCATGACCTGAGCCGAAGGCAGACGCTTAACAACTGAGCCACCCAGGCGCCCCTGTTCTGCTTTTATATTAAAAAAATATTTTACCAAAAAGAATGGTTTTTCAAATGACGGTGCTGTAAAAGTTTGTTGTCCATTAACAACAACAAAAATAACTCGAATCCATACCTCACACAATATATATACTTAACTCCAAATGGATCAGAGACACAAATGCAAAACCTAAAACTATAAAAATTCTAGAAGAAAACAGACAAAAATCTTGTGACATTCAGTTAGTCAAAAATTCCCTGGCTACAACATTGAAAGCACAACCCATAAAATAACAAAGTTAAATGGATTTCATCACAACTGAAAACTGCTCTTCAAAGAACCATGTTTAAAAAAACAAAAAGACAAGCCACTAGAAGGAAATCTTTGCAAAGCATAAATTTGATAAAGAACTTGTATCCAGAATATATTAAGACTTCCAAAACTCAACAATAAGAAAACCACCCAATGAAAAATGGGAAAGTATCTGAATAGACATTTTGCGAATGAAGATGGCAAATAAGCACATTAAAAGATGCTCAACATCATAGGTCATTACAGAAATGCAAATGAATACCACAGTGAGATACCACCATCTACCTACTAGAATGACTAAAATGAAAAACACTGACCGTCTGACTGGATCAAGTACTACTGAGTCTGTAAAGCAAATGGAACTCCTACGACTGATCACTTTTTAAAAGTCTGGCAGTTTCTTAAAACGTTAAACGTGTGTCTACCATATAACAGCCATTTCACACCTATGTGTTTACTCAGGAGATATGAACACACGTATCAAAGGCCTGTACATGAATATTTATGCCAACTTCATTTGTAATAGTAAAAAAAACTAGACACAACCCAAATGCCCATCAATATGTGAATGGGTAAACAAGTTGTAGTAGATTCATGTAATGGACTACTAATTAGCAGTAAAAAGAACTATGCACACACACAGCACCATGGAGGGACTCGAAATAATTACGCTGAATAAAAGAAGTCAGACAGAAAAAGGGTAAATATTAAATGATTCCATTTATATAGAATTCTAGGAAATGCAAACTAATCTATAGTGACAGGAAGCAGCTCAGTGGTTATCTGGGGAAGGGAGGCGGGGGGATTGGGAAGGAAAGCTCAACAAAGGACATGAGTAAACTTCTGAGAATGATGGTTATGTTCACTACGTTGGTTGTGGTGAAGGTTTTAGGGATGTGGACATATGTCACAACTTGGCAAATTACACCCTTTAATTGTGTGCAGTTTACTAAGTATCAATTGTACCTCAATAAAGCTAGGGGGGAAAGCCCAAGTTTTCATATTGAGAAAAACAAATTAATGAGGATGACAAACAAATCTTCAAATGAATTTACTGAAGTGTGCCAAAAAAGCAAAAAACAAAAAACACCAAAACCAAAAACCCAAACCACTTTCTGTGAACTGATAAACTAAAATCCTTTATAAGGGCAATGACTCAAAATGACTAAAATCTTTCCTTCCCATTCACAGGGGGGGGAAAAAAGAAAAAGAGGAATACTGGCTTAAATGTAAGAATCACATTCAGTTCTTACTAGAAAGGCTATGTCTGGGCAGTTTTTAGTCACATTCTCAGCTGTTGCCCGTGGAGGAAGCCAGTGCAGTTCACCTGTTGCTTTACAGACTGGCACATCATACTAGATGATTTAAGGGCTCCAGGAATACACTCGAGCTGGAACTGAGACCTGCAAATAATAAATAGTTCTGGGATAAGTTCCATTTATCAAATACCAAAGGAAGTAGCCACTGAAGCGATTCAATGCAGCCTCTGTACAGACCTTTTAAATATGTTAATTAGTGGTAGCCTTAAAAAGAAAGAAATGCCATGCTAATTGGTAGGCCTGCCTTTGATTAATTAAAAAAAAAAAAAAAACAACGAAGTTACACTCCAGCCAAGATAACAAAAGAACAAGTACTAGCCAACCATGGGCAGGTATTCAGGTAGAAGGAGTCAGAAACCGTAGAGTGGGTCTGGGTAACTTGAGGCAATTTGTTATTTTTGGAGTGAGAGCGAGAGACAGACTGTAGCTAAGAGGCTGGCGATGGGTGGAGGAGCCTTGTATGAGTGATGTTACCAAGGGCTGAAGAATTTTAAATTATACTGATAATTTACAAATTACCCTAAATGTAGGTACCTGTACAATTTGCTCCCCCCACTCCCATCCCCAGCCACGTTTCGAGGTAATTCAGAAAACCACCAATCTTTGTGTGCTTTTGTTGCTTTCTGAAACAGAATTAAGTGGGGATTCTCCTATCAGTTTTTATTTAGGGTACCGTTTTTTTCAACGAAATGTGACCTTCCAGAATTATAAATTCACTTAGGCCTTTGCGGGGTTTGCTGACAGGTAATTAACAAAAGGGGGTTTAAATCTGTCACTGTGAGGCCTCAGGGTCCTCTTTCTTGAAGCTCAACCAGGACCTGGCGCAGCCCCTTCTCCACTGCAGGACACACCCCTGCTCTCTCCCCTCACCCCACTCTGAGAGGGACATGTATTACAGAAAGGTTGCCCGCCCATAATCCTAACGGGGACAGTTCTGGCAACTGTCTTTACACCGCTCCTTTGCAACTTGGACTTGGAGAGTGCCTCACCACACAAACGCTCACACCAAATCACAGAGCCTAGAGCACTACAGAGAACAGTGCGTGGAGGCAACAGACTTGCTTTTTGGGAATCAGAACAGTGTTTGAATCCCGCCCAAGCCTTACTGTAAGTGCAACTTTGGGCAATTTCATCTCTGTTCAGCATTTTCCTCTGCAAGACGGGAATAGATACTTACCTTGTGGTGAAAAGTAAACAGGGTCGTGTATGTCCAGTCTCTGGCATAGTTCTGGGGGTTCAAATTGCAAAGCTATTATACTCAGTGTGTTACTCAGAAATAAGTGCCACCCCCAAATGGCCTGGTGTGCACTTAAAAATAAGGGGTTTGGATTTTTTTTTCCTGGCACAGTCTCCTATAGAATCACAGCCAACAGAATCTTTGAAGGACAAACAATGGCAATACTCCACGTAAAGAAGACGGCGCGCATGTGTGATGCAAGATGAATATTAAGAGTGACGCTTGGTAAGTAGTATACTTTTGATCTTCTCATCTCTGTGACATAGGTGGTGTGTGTACCTTAAATTTTATGGCGGTCAAAGTCGCAGATAACCCCAAATCACAGCTAAAACAAAACCCATCCACGTGCAGCCAACAGTGATTTTGCGTGTTGAACTGAATGGTAATTTGGTAATATGTGATTACGACCATCCAGGGATGGACTGACCCCTGCCTGCAGCTTAACTGTGGGAAAAGATTATACTGCATCTCCAAAAATAGTAAGATTACTAAAAATCAGAGAAAACAGCTATATGTTAGGGGAAAAACATACTCCATCGAAGTACACGAAAAATAAACCAAAATTCCACATTGACTTCTACATCATGGGAATGTCTCTTTCACATAACATCTCAGATTAATCCCCTACCCTCATCCTCCTGAAACTGAAGCAAGGGGTGGCAAGAAGAGTGTGAAAATGAATCCCATCTTGCAGAGCCAGACTGGTGGAGGGATTGGGTATGGAGGGAAAGCGCACGGAGGTGATGGAGATCCAATACTGGGGAAAAACCAGTGCTCAACTACGACACACCACAAAGAAGGCTGCTGTAGCAGCTCTTCTCACAGTTTTAAAACAAGCAGTGTCTGTGATTTCCGAGATTTCCAAATGATCATACTTGTATTACTTTTACACTCTTGCTTTCCCCTTGCAGAAGGAATGTTTCTAAACACTAGATGCAATTTGAACTAAATAAATTTGCACTGGGTCCTCCCTGGCAAACCTTTACCTTTGGCAACAACACAGTTTAAGTCAAATTTGTCTATAGGTACCTGCCACAATACGGGACTTGCTTGTCTTCTTTTGTTTTGAAGAATCTGACTGGCATTGATCTTGAGGTAATGAATGATACAGAAAACTGAGTATGTATTTTTCCACATATTTACCTATGCAATATGCATGTTTTGACCTTTCTGAGCCTCAGTATCTCTAATTGCAAAGAGAACAGTCAATTCTTGATTAACTGGGATACCTTAATCAAGATAGAAGGCCACAGAAAATCATGGCTAAAACAAAACTGGTCATAACAATACACTGACTGGTGGTCCTTTTGCATTTTAAACTGAAACTCATTTGGATAGCACAAAGCTACAGATCAATCTGTGCTGGGCAAAAGGGGGAAAAGTGACTAGAAGTAACAAAAACAGCAAGGAAACTCTTGGGTCTGTCTCCAATATTGTCCACTGAATCTCAGCAAAGACTAGAGAATCCACTCCATCACAGCAGAGATCTTACTTTTTACTGTCCATTTCTGTGTTCCTAATATCTAGAACAGCGGATGCACATAGAGGCACTCAAATATTTGTTGAAGGAATAGGAGGAGGAAGAGAAAAGAGGGAGGGAGGGAAGGTTTCCATTCTATTGGCTGAAGGATCTGGGGAAGAAAAGAGTTGCCCAACCTACTTGATTACCTTTGTGAATGATTAGGAATTGACTACTTTAAATTTGAAAATTCTCTTGGATTTCCCTTGAGTATCCAGCAATCAAGAACACCTTGTTCTCTTTCCTCTCTTGGCCCACCCTCAACAGATACCAGGACACTGCAGTTACTGTGCCATCTTGTGGTCATGTCTAGCAAGTTCGTCTTCCTCAATATACCATTACGGTCTCCCTACCTGCAGGCTCTTGGAATGGGCTCTAAGAATAAAGTTTTGAATAAATAGCTCTCCATTTTTTAATTCAGCTATCATGGAACACAAAAAGATGAATCAGTCACTGGTCCTACCACCAAGAAGCGTGTAACCTAGAAGGGGAGATAACTCAAAAGAATATTTATAATTACTGGTAACACAAAACAGAAGTTAGAAAACGCCCTAAAATAAGTGTAGATTAAGCATAATGGGAATTCCGGGGCGCCTGGGTGGCTCAGTCGTTAAACGTCTGCCTTCGGCTCAGGTCATGATCCCAGGGTCCTGGGATCGAGCCCCAAATGGGGCTCCCTGCTCAGCAGGAAGCCTGCTTCTCCCTCTCCCACTCCCCTTGCTTGTGCTCTCTCTCTCTCTCTCTCGCTCTGTCTCTCTCTGTCAAATAAATGAATAAAATCTTAAAAAAAAATGTAAAAAAGAATAATGGGAATTCCTAGAGAGAAAAGATTCATTCAAGCTTTGGAGGTGAAAGTTTGGGAAGGAAGAGACAAGTGAATGGCGAGTGGGGAGAGAGAAGTCACGGACCTGTGGCGGGGGGGCTGGGGAGTGGCGTGCAGCCCCCGAGGGAGGAGGGACGGGGGCAACTTGCACAGCGTTGGACTATGGCAGGATGGATGGTGGCTAACGCTGAGTAGCAGGCTGAGAGGGACCAGGAGGCTGAAGGAAGCTGAGCACCAAGGAAAAGGCACTTCTGTGACGAGGTCAGACTCATTTGTGCCTGTGAAAGCAATCTTGTCTGGGGGTTCTGGGGCCAAGTGGACCAGCTGCGATTCTGTGGGTAAAAAACGATTTAATTTTTTGCAGCCTGGGTTTCCTCGGCTGAAAAGGGAAATCATTAAACCCTAGAGGTTGCTACAAGGGATAGCTTAAGCATCTGCTATCACATGCAAAGCACATGCCATAGCCAGTGGCACTCAAGAGTTTTACTAAATGTTGAGGAACGCCAATAACACGAAGACCCCCAATAGCAGCGTCCTTAACAGACAAGGGAGAACCAGCACAGGCTTTGAAGAGCAGGGCAAGGATGAGAGCGGACAGTGGCCTGTGACAGAGACACAGGAGCCAGACCGCTCACGACACACAGGTGTTTGGCGGAAGGAGTATGGAGAGGGGCAAACGGAGGAACTCTGCTACCTGCAGAATGGACAGAGCAGACGGGCAGTGTAAGGGGAGAAGGAAGGCCACGGAATGGGGGAAAAACCAGGCCGCTGTACAGTCAGAAAAGCAAAAGGCAGAGAGAATTTCATGGAAACGGTGGTCACAATAAGAACTAAATTCTACTCCCTTTTGCTTTGGAGACATGTACGCTTTTGGTAATCCTGGAAAGAACTGTGTCAGGGGATGGAGGCACGAGCATGGAATGCTGAGGCTGAGGAAGGAGTGCCATGTGAGAAACCTGAGGCTCGAAGCTCTTTCGAGAAATGGTATCAGCTGAAGGGGAAGGTATAGAAAAGAGAGAGCTTTCTGTCCCTGTGTTTGTTTTTAAGATGGCAGAGGCTTGGCATGTTTACATGCTGATAGGTTCAGGCACAGAAAGGACAATGAATTAGTAGGGACGGGACCCAGAGCACAAGAGTAGGTACAGGAGGACAGGCTATGTGCAGATGCTGACCAAAGACCCTCAACACACAGGCGGAGGACAGAGAAGACAGAAATTAACATTGCCTCACACAGGAGGGGATACCTGAGCACAATTTTCAAGGATGAACTGGCACTGGCCAAGTGGGCAAAAGGAGGTAAGAAAATTCCAGCAGAGGAAATGGTGTGAGCGAGGGCAGGCATATGAACCCCAGACTGATGAGCCTGAGGAACTTCAGGTTGGTGCTGTGGGGGTATAAATGGGAAAGGAACCAGAGGGTAATCTGGGACCAAATCACGACAGGCCTTGGCTCTAGCTGTCATTTCAGGACCACTTTACACATGCTGTTTCTAAAGCATCTGGTGATGTGGCTGTCCCAGTCACCTGGAAGCCCAAGGAAAGAAAAAGCAAGGATTCTTCCAGCGTTGGGAGTAGTAAGATGGGAAAGAGGGCAGTCAATGCAGTGGAATATTCTAGAGCACTAGTGAGAGCAAGCTGGGGTAGCAGAGAGCACACGAAGACACGCCAAGGGAAAAGGAGAGGCTGAGAGCGTCAATAGTGAAAGACCAGCATGTCCAGCAGAGCAAGGCAGTAAGTGGAGTGGAAGGACACAAGCTGTGGTTGGCTAGGCTCACTCTGGGGTTCAGATGCACAGAGGTGAGCAGGCTGAAGTGACGATGACACTCTGGAAAGCAGAATGCAAACGTGAGGTACTTTTAGTTTGCATGACAGTGTCAGAGAATCTTTTTTTTTTTTTTTTTTTTTAAAGATTTTATTTATTTACCTGAGACAGAGAGAATGAGAGACAGAGAGCATGAGAGGGAGGAGGGTCAGAGGGAGAAGCAGACTCCCTGCCGAGCAGGGAGCCCAATGCGGGACTCGATCCCGGGACTCCAGGATCATGACCTGAGCCGAAGGCAGTCGCTTAACCAACTGAGCCACCCAGGCGCCCGTGTCAGAGAATCTTGATTGTGACATTTGAACCTTCCTAATTTTTAGATTTCTCAACTGACATCCCTCCAGGTAATGCTTAAAGGTACCAAAAGAGGTGCCAATTTGAATCCTTATTTTTTTTTTAAAAAGGAATTAGATAATGTGAGTAATTACTTCCTTAATTTATTTGCTTTGAAAATTCTGGTTAGTTCAGAATGTGGCAGGTGAGTGTTTTCCCCCCACCGTAACATGAACTTGTAGTTTGATTCTACAGCAATCTTCCACTTGTCCTGCAACATCAATGATCTGACACCGGGAGAAAAAACAGAAAGGAGAAACAAGGATCTGAAGAGCCAAAGCAGAGCTTACAAATCCACACACTTCATGCACTTTATGACAGAGGCAGCACCGTGCGCCCTCCCTCACCTAGTGCCAATCTCTCAGGCAAAACGAGGCTAAGAGTTCTGGTGCAGGGAAGATGAGCAGCCTCAGGTGTCGAGGGCCAATGTAATGATGGCAGCGGGAGGGTACAGCTCAGGAGGGAAAACATATGAAAGAGAATTATGTACAAGAGAAAGCAAAAAGCATAGACAGTAGCAAGGGTTTTTAAATGGTCATGCCCCACGTCGGGGAGGGTTAAGGAAATGGGCACGCCCACGTACTCCTAGTGACTCAAGTCCTCCCGGGGGTCAAAGTGGCCACGCAACTGCCAAGCCAGGGAAAGCATTTATCATTCTCTCTACCCATTTCACACCTAAGAGTTTATCTGCAGCAAATAACCCAAGATGCACTTAAAGATTTATGCACCAGGCCATTCATCACTGCTTATGTAAAGACTGGAAAAAGCTACACAGCCATTAACGGGAGAAGGCTAAATACATCACGGTGCTCATTCACAAGTCGTCTAGTTTTTGAGGAATAGGTAGAAGTAACATAAAAGTACATGACAAACAACATTTACACAATGTTAGGTTTTCAAAAAGTAGGACACAAAACAAAGATCTCAATTTGGTTTACAAAGATATTACCTAGGTAGTTTATTTTTTTTTAATTTAATTTTTAAATTTAATTAATATACAGTATATTTTTTTTAAAGATTTTATTTATTTATCTGAGAGAGAGAGAATGAGAGACAGAGAGCAGGAGAGGGAGGAGGGTCAGAGGGAGAAGCAGACTCCCTGCTGAGCAGAGAGCCTGATGTGGGACTAGATCCTGGGACTCCAGGACCATGACCTGAGCCGAAGGCAGTCGCTTAACCAACTGAGCCACCCAGGCGCCCTATAGTGTATTATTAGTTTCAGAGATAGAGGTCAGTGATTCATCAGCTGCATATAACACCCAGTGCTCATTACATCAAGTGCCCTCCTTAATGCCTATCACCCAGTTACCCCATCCCCCCACCCATCCCCCCTCCAGCAACCCTCATTTTATTCCCTTTAGTTAAGAGTGTCTTATGATTTGTCTCCCTCTCTGATTTTGTCTTATTTTATTTTTCCCTCCCTTCCCCTATGATCCTCTATTTCTTAAATTCCACGTATGAGTGAAATCTGACTGACTTATTTCACTTAGCATAATACCCTCTACTTCCATCCACATCGTTGCAAATGTTAAGATTTCATTTTTTGATGGCTGAGTAATATTCCATTGGGTGTTACCCAGGCAGTTTAAAGGAAAAAAAATGCCTGTTTGTATTTAACATACTTTTGATGATGTGAACTTTAATATTATACCAGAAACACAGTATCATATATCCATATTTACTATATGCGTATCGATGTTATTCTTCTTGCCTATGGTACTTAACTCAGTATTTACTTCTTCCACAAATTCAGTCTTTCCAACTTTTCTTTCTAGGGGACTCCAACATGTTTGGAAGTAAGAGCGGAACCTGAATCTTTCATCAAATGAGGGGCCACAGAAGCCTGTCAAACAATTGTACAGGGATGCAACCAGCAAGAAACAGACTTGTGGGAAACTCTACAGAACCAAACTAAACCAAACCAAAAAGACCCCACTTCTTAAACAAATAAATTTTAAGGGGGAACAAAGGGAAGGGGTTACCAGTAGGTCAGAAAAGATTTAAAAGATATTATCAGCTACCTGCAGATACGGGCCATATGGGTCCTGCAAACTGTTAAAAACACTGAGACAACTGTAGATATTTGAACATTAACTATTTGGTGATATTAAGACATTACTGTTCTTTTGAGGTGTGATGATCATATTGTGATTATATGTCTAGAAAGGGTCTGTATGTTTTAGAAATACACACTAAAAATATGTAATGATATGAAATAATTTTGCATCAAAGTAGTCCGCAGAAGAGATGCACATGGGTAGGGGGACAGCCAAAATATGACTGGCTACTGAGGTGGTAACTACTGAAACTGGCTATGGGTATATGAAGATCCTTCTAGTATTCTCTGTGCTTTTGTGTATCTCTGAAATATTCTACAATAAAAAGTTCTTTAAAAATCTCTCAAGGCGGCACTACACATAACCCCTATATGTGGTATATTACAAACCATGGGTGCTCAGTAAAAACTGGTGGACGGTGACAAAGTCAGAAATTATTTGCATGTAGTTTATGACACAACTTCTGTGAATTAAGGAATGCTCATGATCATTTCTAAAGCCCTGACCATGCTACAAAGGCCACAGGCCAATCAACCGATGGATGCTACTCTGCTGAAGCCAAGCAGGTACTTGTATGTAAAAGTAACACCATAACAAATATCTTTAGTAGTCACGGCCTTTCAATTATATCAATTACTTTTTTAGAAATAAGTATTCTGGGAGAGGGTTTTTAACATTTAGGCTTCTAAGTACTCACTTAGCATACAACGACTGGGTAATTTTAAACTCTAATAAGGGAGGAGAATAGATTGGTCTAGCAGGACCAGAGAACTGTGTCAGGCTGGGGGGTGGATGAATATGGCGGCTCGTGGAGGCAATGGCACACCACAGGAGAAGGGCCCCGTGTCATGGAGCAGACAGACCAGGCACCAGGGGAAAGCTTCTGTTGGGCAGGTGTGTGTGTGCGTGCATGCATGCACACACACGCACGCATGCACACGGAAGCCAGGCTGGCAAGGTATGGGAAAGGAGGCGAAGATGTGACAGTCTGAGGAAGAAAGAGGAAGTCCGGACAGAGTGGTAGAGTCAAGTGAGGGGTTCAAGCTGCTTTGGTCTGGACAGCCTTGAACATGTCTACTGGCTGAAAAAAAATAGTCAATGCAGTGTACATGTTTCCATATTCCATGGGACAGGAAAAGAGATGGTGGGAGAGCAGAGCTTCCCAGCAGCCAAGAAAACAAAGGGATACAGTGCAAATTAGGTTTGTGGTCAGGGGACAGACTGTAGATAGGGCATATGTGATAGACCCAATTTCCTCAGTGAGCTTGGGGCATTACCTAATGTCTATTATAGATTCTATTAGAATCTCACTATTAACTATTAATAGATTAGTATTAATCATCAGAACATAAAATATTAGATATTTTTTATTATATACTAGAATAAAGGAAAAAATTAATAGATTGATATTAGTCTATTAATAGATTATTAGAGATCCTAGTTCTATGAGAACTATTATCATTGTCATCATTATTAGCTTGAATTTCACAGAACAGACTGGACAAGGTTGCTTAGACAACAAAAACCATTTGAGCACTTACATGAACCAGGTATTATGCTGAGAATTTTGTTTGTGCATCATCTCATTTAATACTTACTTAACTTCTCTGAGCCTCATTATCTTCCTCTGTGTATGAGGGATAAGCACAGTACCTACTTTACGGAGTTGTTATGAGCATTAAAAAAGTGCCTATGTGTAAGCGTGCTGGGCAACAAGCACAGAGTAAGCACTTCCTAGTGTCAGGGGATAGTGTTGCTCCAAGTGAGCTACCTTCCCAATTCACGAGGTCTGCAGCAGGGCCGCCTGGCTACCACTGCATTCCCCACGTAGCTAACCAGCCTGCTGGGGGACACCTGCCACGAGGCTAGAGAAGCACAGGGGTGAGCATGCACAGGGAGAGAGGGGACGGGGGGGGCAGGGGGCTGGCAGTGGTGCAGCCATGATGAGATCCAGCTTCAGAGTCTAGGGATGGGTGAAGGGGGTGACAGCCACAAGGAGGCCCAGAGCCATTGCCAGCAGCCGGGGAAAGGATGTATAGGCTCCCCTGCCTGCAGCCCTCTCAGCCTGGCTCCAAAGAAGCAAGAGGTCCTAAAGTTTGGAGTGCCTGGCTTCCTGTGGGCGGATGAGGGACAGTGCAATCAGGTTGGGGGCGGGGAGGCAACCCCCAAGAGCTCTGGGTTAGATGAGAACACAGGACTCCACTTCCAAATGTTACCACAGCTCAAGCCTCACAAAACTTGCCAAGTACTTGCTGTATGAAGCTATTTGGAGAAGGAAGACCTAGCTTCATGAGCAGGGGAGGAGGGTATCCCAGACTGGAAGTCAAAGCAAGCTGTGTGCTAGGGACTAGAACACAAGCACTAACACAGGACTCTGGGGCACAGAAGAACCACTGAGTCAGGCCTGAAAGGACGCTGTCTAATGAGAGTGGGAAAAGAGAATCCCAAGCTGAAGGACTTGAAGGAGCCAGGGGTATGGTGGGTTCCAGGTAGTGCTTCAGGTAACAACCCATGGTACGGGCTGAACTAAATGATCCTGAAGTCTACTGAAGATGGCTGGCCTCAAAAAGGAGTCCTACGATGGTTGTGATTAACAGCTATGTTACACTCAGAAAAAAACAAAACATGTCTATGCGAATGTCCAGTACCTTTTTAGTATTTTAATTGGGGTGAAAGGAATAAGGTATGACCTTTCTGGAGATGTGTGACTTGAAGGGGACAGACTGGAGTTTAGGGTACCCTCGGCAGTCAAGTGATTATGCCCATTTGCAGATTCGTCCTCTGGGAAAGCCCAGTGCAGATGTCAGAACATATTACTCCGCAGAACTGAGAGCACAGTGAGTACTTCCCAACCCTGAGTCTCTGGGGTGGTCATGCAAACACCAAGAGTGTGGGTAGGCTGTGTCTCTCTCTTGTCTTCTCAGGCAGGATGGGGGTCTCCCCTATCGTGTCTCCTCTCACTGCCCTGTGTACCATCCCGTCTGTGTGGACCCCCCTCCCTCCTTCTGCATGTCGGCCTCTCTGCCCTCCTCGTATGCGTATATGTGGCTTCCTCTATGGGTGTCTGTGTGTGTAAGCACACACGCATGTGTGTGCACAAGTGTGCCGACTCTATTCTGAATTTCTCTGTTGTTCTGCTTTCCCAGCTTGGGGTATATAGATCTCGCTCCTCTCCCCTGGTATGTGTGCCTACTCCTCTCCCCCACCTCGGGTATGTGTGTTTGTGCATCCCTAGGGGTGTGTGTGCGTGTGCATGTCCTTCTCTGCCCTCTGGGAGTCTGTTTCTCTCTCCTACTGAAGGTATGTGTATGTGGTGTCTCCTCTGACTCTGGGGGGTGTCACTCCTACTCTTTGGAGGCCTGTTGTGTGTCTAGCTCCTTCTGGGCATGAGGGTGCCTCCCCCTCCCCCTCCCCATCCCAGCATGAGTGTGCCTAGTGGGAGTGTGCCTCTCACAACCTTCTGGGTATGTGTGTGTGCAAGTGTCTCCCGTCACATCCTGGTATGAGTGTAACTCTCTCTCCCACCTTCCGGAGGTATGTGTGTGTCTTTCCTGCTCCCACAAGGTGAGTGTCTCTACCCCATGATCCTATGTCTACTGTCCCCCACCTTTCTAGGTGTGTGTGTCTCCCCCCTGCCCCATCCTGGAATCTGTCTCTCTCTCTCCCCACCCCTTCCACCTTCTTTCACCTTCTGGATGTGTGCCACTCTCCCCTCATCCAGTTATCGGTGTCCCCCAGGCAGGGGTGAGACAGACACAGAGCTTCTGTCTCTCTCCCCTCTCTGGGTATGAGCTGAATGTGCTGCTCTCTCTCTCTCTCTCTTCCTCCCCTGAAGTGCGAACAATAATTCACACATATATACATAGACATAGCATCCCTGGGTGTACAGGTCTCTTCTCCCCACTGTGTGTTCAGTCTGTATGTCTATGAGTCCCTCTCTCTCTGGGCCTCTGGGGGTGTGTGTATGTGTGTCCTCTCCCACCATAAGCATGTCTGTCTGTCCGTCTTTCCTTGGGGTGTGTGTACTTGGCTCCATAGCCCCATTGCAAGGCTTGCTGAGGGCAAGGAAGGGGCTTCTACCTGTCGTGGGGAGGGCTCAGGTTGAGAAGGAAGGGGTCTATGGAGTGGGTGGGGGGCAGCAGAGATGAAACAAGCCACCTCCTTACCTCCCAAACTTGCTGTCCTGCACTTCACAGTTAACAAGAGACTGGCTCCCACTCTTGAGGGTGACACTCAGGTCTCTTCTTGCTGACCTTTCTATGGGCCCAGCGCTGTCGCCATTCTTCTCCTTGATGCTGTCCTAGGACACCCTCTGGGAGGACTCTCATCACACAGCACCTAGCCACTGCTCCAAGCTTCCTCCAGCTTCCTTCCACCACAGCCAACCCTTGAGTCTGGCCCTGAGGGCAGAGTGCACCTCCCCAGATACTTACTGTGTGCCTGGTTCCAGAGAGAGAAAGAGGGAAGAGGTCAGGCTCAGTCTAGTGAGGAAGCTGGACATGCACAGGATGGGAGGAGTGCCTGAGAGCAGGGAATGGAATCGGCTGTGCAAGCACAGAGGTGTCACCCCAACCGTGAGACAGGCAGGCTGGGGACATGCTCTGGGACACACCCAGCAACCAAGCTCCAGAGGAGCAGGGAAGGGAAGAGGTGAGGAAGGTGTGAGCTAGGAGGTCGCTAGTCCCCAGGAGCTGCATTCTTAAGGACACCAGGGAGGGGATGACCACCGCACCCCAGGCCCTTTGGCTACAAGGAAGGGGCGGTCATGAATGAGGATGAGGCCCGAGGTGGGAGCCAGCTGGCAAAGGGCAACCCATGCGGTGGCTCAGGAGTTCTAAGCACAGTGTGGGCCAGCTGTCCCCAAAGAGGGCACGAGACGGTCCTGCAGAGTGGCTCTCTGGCTTCCTCCCCCACCTCGCTGCCTCTGCCCGGCTGGGCTCCCCCTCCATCAGGGTCTTCTCTGGAAGTGCCCCTCCCAGGTTGTTCCTGGTTTGCTCCTTCTCATCAGTTAGGCCTCGTCACAAAGGTTCCTTTATCAACACATCCTCTCTGAGCACTGTCTCTAAGGGCCCCTTCTCCCCCAGGCCCCCAATTCTTCATCCTCGTATTCCTTATTTCCTTCATACCACCTGCCACGGGCTGAGAGAATTCTGTCTACCGTTGCCTTCGTTCACTCTGGCTTAGTGTCTGGTCCATGGG